CACGAGGAAATTATCAGCCACAAACGTTGAGGAGTTTAATTGGTGACGGATCCGACCAATAAAATATTATTAGTGACGGGTCCTACTAATATATATTATTAGTGTATAGTATTTTCTCAAACACTATAAATAGGGTCCTAAACTCTTAAGAAAAACTCATCCAAAAAATAACTCCTCTCATAGAAAAGTGAGAGAGAAAACACAGAGAGAGATTGTGAGAGTTCTTGGAGTGTATCTGATCAAGAGTGTGTGTTTTCTTTGATCTATTCTTTTGGGATATAAAAGAATTTGGCGTCGTCGTTGCACCATGGAGTAGCTTCGAAGGAGTGAACCACGTATATTTGTGAGTACTGTGATTGATTTTTTGTGCCTTTATTCTGTGTATTACGTCTCTGTTCGAGACGTTATTGTTGGTGTGTGTTGTGCGCAGCGAAAATTTCGGCAGCACCTCCGGTGCGCAAGGTGCACAACAAGAAATTAGATCGTAAGAATTCCTGTCTCACCAAGGAAACAAGAATCTGAAGCGGATATCTCAACAAAGTGAGATATCGGCTCTTCCTCTCATCAGTTCTAGGACTGACCTGTCGAGGGATCCTACAAGCTATTACAAATCACGGCAAGAATAAAAATTTTACGTGGTTCGACAAACTGCCTACGTCCACGGGGCAAGGAGGGGGGAGATCTACTATTAGAGGGAGAGAATACAGCTAGGGTTTACAATTACTCACAACCTAAACCCTCAAACAAACTCTCAGATCCCTTACACAAATACTCTCTCACAAAAGGGGTGCACAAAATTCACAGTCTCTTTCTTTTGCTCCTGCGCTGCACACTGCAGCCTCCAAAAAAAAAACTTCACGAACAAATGCCTTGCACTGCTTTTCTTTGCACGCCGCCCAAAACAAAAAAAGGAACGCTGCCTTTTCCCCCTCAATCTTCGTACTTGCACTCCTGCACAACCACCTCTTTTTTTGCCCACGAAACCCTAGGCAAATAGAGTATTTATAGACTAATGTGATCGGGTGGGCCCACCTCTTTTTTTGCCCACGAAACCCTAGGCAAATAGAGTATTTATAGACTAATGTGATCGGGTGGGCCTTTTTCCGCACCTGGCCTTTTTCACACCTGCACTTTCATTCACTCGTGGCCCCCACTCCTCTCTGTTTCATTCATGTTTTGTTTGGAGAAAATAAATGTAGGCACGTGGGTAGTGGACCCCACGTTCATTCATTCACAATTCTCCACATCGGCGAAGTTTTCCCAAAACTGAGCCGATACCAACCAAATCAAATGTCTCACTTGTTGCGTCCAGTACAAAGTGAAACAATTCACGACAACGGACTCAATCCACAACAAGTCGAGACCCAACGGGAGTGCGAACACTCACCCAAACGTCGGTATCTACTCACCAAATCGGTCTCACCCCCATCAAAATCCAACCCGGCTGCATCATAAAGACTGCCTATGTATCCTCTTGCCCAAGGAATCAAGCCGAACGTAGTTCACTAAAATGGCCACGAACGACCTCAATCCAATAGAAGAGTTCGTAACCCTTCTCCAACATCACGATTAAGTCTACGGCTGATAGCACCTCTAATAGCCCTAAACTGAAATAATCCAAACATCTCCACCTGAGATGAACCAATGGCCATATCCAGACTACATCTATCAGCTGCACTCGAATCAATCAACCTATCATCTGCATCCAAAACAACATGATTCCCAATCTGTGTCACATCAGCTGGAATCCCAAATGATGCAGTATGATCTGGAGTCTCTACCCAACGTGGAGTAGCATCACTCTCCACCCGCTGTGATGTCCCAAAGATCTGATCACCACTCTCCACCTGTCGAGAGTCAAACATGACATACCTCACATCCACGATGTGACCAAGTGCTGGGTAGCCAAACATCTGACGCAACCCAAAATCTGAAGCAGCTCCACCAGATCTAAAATCTCTACATGCAGCAGTCGACAACCCATACATAAGATGACCCAAACATGTCGTAGCCCGCACACCAATGCCAATGCTTGACATCAAACGCTGATCCTCCTCCAGAAAGGAACAGCTCCCCAAATCTGCCATCTCATCACGTCGTCTCAAAGTTTCCACACCAATGAAGTGTTTCCTATTGCCGTGAGCTCGGTACAATTGCAAGAAAGAACCCCTACCATAACCAGAACGTCGGGTTATCTTTCTACCAACACACTTCCTCCATCTGTTGCGGGCTTCTAGGACTTCACACGGACTTGGTTGCAACCCACCAATGCCTAGAGCAATCCCTAACTGCAGAAACCACATACCTATTACCTCCCAATAATTCTCCCTTGGAAGGCCCCCGAATGCCTGAATGAACACCCCTCAGAAGACCCCTTGAATGGTGGATAGAAGTGTCAAACTCCACCTCGGTCTTCTTGCTCATACCAATGGGTTCACAGGACTTCAAACTACAGGTCAAAGCACTCCTCAATAACCTATACACGGCATTACCAATCAAATAACCCAGCATCAAACAACGCCACAGTCTAGCCGAATCTGATGAAGTCGTCATCTCTCTATCAATCATCGTGCTTCTGAGCAAATAATACAAATTGCTCCTTCTGACGCCCTTCATCACAATCATGGACCCTAATGTGACCTTCAAACGTGCATCCACCAAGGTCACTTTATAGCCAATGCCATCAAAGCTCCCAGTGAAATGATGTTCTTTGACAACTGCGGAACGAACCTCACTTCATCCAACTCCTGAATCACTCTGTCATACATCCGAATACTAATGGTACCAATACCACCAATAGAGCATGCATGTCCATTACCCATGAGCACAACATCCTCTCTTTCTAACTTCTGAAAGCTGGAGAATCAATCCCTCATAGGGCAAACGTGGTATGAAGCACCCGAATCCAACATCCACTCTGTAGAGTTGGCAACACAAACTGACGGTAGTGCAGACAACGAATAGCCCGAAGAATCCGAATCTGAATTGTTGTCACTAGTCTTGACAACATTCACCTCTGAAGCTTGTACAGCTTTCCCCTTATTCTTCTCGGCTCGATCTAACTTTGAACATTCGGCTTTCCAATGTCCATTCTCTTTACAAAAGGCACACTGATTCCTACGAATCCCACGATGTGCACCTCTAAACTGTGACCTCCTGCTTCGGTTTGAATCACGGCCATGAACTACTAATGCATCTCCCGATGCCTTCTCAGAGGACTCATCAACAATCTTCCTTAACTTATAATTTACCAACGCTGATGTCACCTCCTTGTAACTAATAGTAGTTCTTCCATTAATCATAGTGAGGACAAAAGTACCATAATCATCCTCGGGCAACGAACACAAAAGTAGCATCGCCTTGTCTTCATCCTCAACCATGATATCCACATTGGCCATGTCTGAAAGTAGCTTTGTAAAGTTGTTAACATGCTCCCTAATGGAAACTCCCCTCTTCATCTTGAACTGATAAAATCTCTTCTTCAAGTGAAGCCGATTCTCAATGTTCTTAGTAAGATACTTTTCATTGAGTGTTTCCCACATCTTCTTCGCCGACGTCTCGTTCATCACGTCATAAATAAGATCCGACGTCAGGCATGACCGAATAACTCCACACGTCCTACTATTCATCTTCTTCCAAACCTTAGCTTCCATATCGGCAGGTTTCTCTTGTAACTCAAGAGTCTTCTCCAAATTCTGAGCGTCCAAGGCGTCCATCACCTGACACCTCCACAATCCGAAATTAATCTTGCCGTCGAACTTCGGAACATCAATCTTCATGTTATTGATGCTCAAACTATGTATCATCTTCGTAAGAGACGATCCCGATGTGCTTGTTTCACCCATGTTGTCGATCTAATCTTCAAATAGGAATCCTTTAATGAATCCTTCAAACAAGCTCCCAAGTCTAACCCGGTGCTCTGATACCACTTGTTGTGCGCAGCGAAAATTTCGACAGCACCTCCGGTGCGTAAGGTGCACAACAAGAGATTAGATCGTAAGAATTCATGTCTCACCAAGGAAACAAGAATCTGAAGCGGATATCTCAACAAAGTGAGATATCGGCTCTTCCTCTCATCAGTTCTAGGACTGGCCTGTTGAGGGATCCTACAAGCTATTACAAATCACGGCAAGAATACAAATTTTACGTGATTCGGCAAACTGTCTACGTCCACGGGGTAAGGAGGGGGGAGATCTACTATTAGAGGGAGAGAATACAACTAGGGTTTACAATCACTCACAACCTAAACTCTCAAACAAACTCTCAGATCCCTCACACAAATACTCTCTCACAAAAGGGGTGCACAAAATTCACAAAGTCTCTTTCTTTTGCTCCTGCGCTGCACACTGCAGCCGCCAAAAAAAAAAAACTTCACGAACAAATGTCTTGCACTGCTTTTCTTTGCACGCCGCTCAAAACAAAAAAAAAAGGAACGCTGCCTTTTCCCCCTCAATCTTCGTACTTGCACTCCTGCACAGCCACCTCTTTTTTTGCCCACGAAACCCTAGGCAAATAGAGTATTTATAGACTAATGTGATCGGGTGGGCCTTTTTCCGCACCTGGCCTTTTTCACACCTGCACTTTCATTCACTCGTGGCCCCCACTCCTCTCTGTTTCATTCATGTTTCGTTTGGAGAAAATAAACGTAGGCACGTGAGTAGTGGACCCCACGTTCATTCATTCACAGTGTGTATCCTAACAATTTGTAAATATTAAATGTAACCAAAATGATGATTTGGAGCTTACTTGCTTGATTTCATGATCCTTTCAGCAATGCTCATGTTAACTTTGGAGGAAGAAGTTGATGAACAATTAATGTAGAAAATGGGCAAGTGTCAACTACCAGCAGCACACTGGGAGCCCAGATTACCTAATCTCATTTTACATAATATTACAAAAACTATATCTCATGTTAGATTTCCATAAGACCAACCCATGAAATTTGCAGAACCTCTATAACAAGATCTCTGACATGAACATATATCTGCTACGATATGATATAGCATAAGCAGTCCATTTTCATTCACATTGAATCCTGTAATTCAAGAAACTAAGCCTCGTGTATCAAGACATCTTTCAATTCAAAACTAGTACCGAATATAAAGAAATAGCAAAAATGCTATAAAAGTAAAATAAAATAAAATAAAAACCTTCGGTTGTAATACCATTCTCAGTACAAACTGGAGGATTATGTTGCAGAAGCAACAAGTTATCCTAGATGAGGGAACAATTCAAATCTAGTGTTCCTTGCATTCCTTCACAAGCCTTGTATTGGTATTGCATCAGATCACCCGACTTATGCTACATCTCTTTCTGTCATCAAATGCCAAAGCGCTGCAATATGAAGCAACAACTGATTTGCATGCAGCACGAAGAGATTCATTTCTTTCTTCTTAATTCAACGCCTCTGAAGCAGTGCTGAGTGTATCAATTCCGAAATGAGGATTGAGTATCAAATGGAAGTTCAATTAGTGTAGCATTACCATAGAATTCTTCCAAGTTATAAAACTCCCGCTGTTGAGGGAGAAATATATGGACAACTACATCACCTGCAAGAGTAACTTTAATAGTCAAGGGAAAGAAAAAATTGTATAGAAGTCTTCAAAAATGTAATTGGAAGATAACATAATCACATCAACAATTTTAAAGAATTTGGCTATCACTGCACATATGTAGTTGACCTCATCCTTTGTTGTAACTTCAAAGAAAACCAGGAAACTGACAAATGCAGATAATTATCAGTACTTAGATGACTAACCAAAGTCTAATAAAGTCCAAGAGTTGGGTTTTGTGTCGCCAGAAGCAACTCTTTTGAATTGCTTCTCAGCTGTATCTCTTATTCTGGACCTACATTCAGCAAAAAGATAGGAATTATGCACAGGCAATGCCACTGATTCAATTGGTTTGCTTCTGGAAATAGACACTATGAGAAGGAAGAAATGAGATGATAAAAGTAAATCAATTTTATGCATGATGAAAATAAATTGCGTACCCAATGGCATCAATTTGAGGGCGAGAAAAGGCTGTTGCAATGATAAAAAACCGGGTCCAGTACACTAGAGGCTTCACAAAAAGAACACGGATATCCCCAGCTTTTACATCACTAGCAACTTTGGCCAACGCTACAGCAACTGTAGAAAGCATAGCATTAGTACTTAACAATAAATAGTTTAAAGTGCACATCATATGTGATAGTCAATCCTGGTTGATAGATCTAATGATCTGTCTTCTAAAAATGACAATAATGTTATTGTTCATTGTAGCTTAGCCATAACCATATACGATATGAGCAATCAAGTTTTTGAGGTAGGCCGAAACCATTGATATAAATCACTATCCTGGACTCAACTACCTTGTATTGCATTACAATTCTCAGCTCAGACCAAGGATAGACTTTACCATAAATGAATTCAGTACACTTGACCATTCATCCACAGTCTCCAATTTTTAACTTGCTTACTATTAGCTTCTAGCTCTCTGATAAATGATGCCAATATTACTAATTCTAGTGGCTCAATTAGACCAGCCTAAAGAGAACAATGAATTAAACCGAAGATCACTATCCTATGTCTAGTTTTATAATGATTTCTCTATTTAGTTCTTTCTCATATTAAGGAATGTTTACACTATAAATTGAAGCTTACATAGTTTGCCAGTGATGAATCACATATAATCCAGTATTGAGCTTCTTGTCATGTCCGTGTCAAATATGTCCACACCACATCAATTGTTCTCCACAGCTGTGATACCAGGTGCTTGTTTTCTTGCCGTTCCTAGAATTATAAATATTCTATTCTTTGATTTGAGTTCTCACGGTATGAGCTTGGGAACTTCTAATAAATCACATCATGGAGCCTTGTTTCATGGATCGCCCTATCTCTGTTGGAAAAAGATTGCTGTTTTTTCTTCAGTCACTTCATCCATATAGAAGGTTTTTCCTAGGTATCCCTATGCTATGTTTCATGTCAGCTAATAACTTTGGAGTAACATTATTCAAAATGCCTTCTTAATTTTCAAACTAGCGGAGCTTAATTAGATAACTCCTATATGTCTATTAAGTGGATAACCATTACATATGTTATTGGCCTTGCACATTAAAAAATTTCTCAGGAACCCTCTCTTTTCAAAACCCTTCTAATTGAATATATACATTTAATAGTGTTTTAGAGCCTCGTTTAAGAGAGTAGTGAGAAAATCCGCTGATTCTTCATTTCATACTACATTTCGTGCTGGTTGTCTCGACACTTAATTTTCCATTAACTCTACCCACTGGCATAGTTCATCCTACGTTGAACCAAACATACTTTATTTTCTGTATGATGGTCATTAATTATTTTAAAGAAAAAAGGAATCTAAGTTCACCAAGCATAAACTTCATTCAGGAATCATGATAAGAAATTTATAAGTAAAAGACAGAGGATTGCCATGGAGGAAATTGAGAAAAGAGAACATGCAACAATAGGCAGAAGAAAAAGTTACAGATATGGCATTGTACCTCGAAAAACATTTGTCCTTGTCCGACGCTACAAACGGTATATATCGTACAATCTATATTGAGCCATAAAAAAAGAACACTTTTTTATAGCTTTACAAGGAAAGCATGAAGTATTTCTTAGATTTCACAGGCTATGATCATGCATCAGTCTCCTCAATTATTTCAGCCATCATGAGAAATGGGGTGGCTTTATAAATTTATCCACAAGATTTCTTTCACCTTGTATACTCAAAATCTTTTGCCTCATATGGCAAGTGGGATTGGAGGTGAAGATCTGATGACTTTTTCCTTTTCACAGGGTGATTTAGCTGCTTTTAGCAATGGGTTTCCCCCCTTCTTTTATTTTTATCATGTGCATAGTGATGTGTAGGTTTAGGTACGGTGCTAGCAAGCTTCAAGTGGTAATTACTTACGCCCAACAAAAAAAAAGGAAGTTTGTGACTGGTTTGGAGAGAAAACCTTGTGTTTACCAGGAGTTGCCTGGAGTTAGACCCTAACTACATTTGTTCAAACAACTTAGAAGTAACTATGTTCTCATTGCAACAAAGGAAATACATTACATAATATTGTATAGTAGCAAGGAAGAGAGCTAACAGGATAAGCTTTCGGCATCATCGTCAGCCTCGGCGACGGGTGGCTTCGAGTCACCTTTCCTATAAACCACCTTCCCATGCTTTTTAAGCAACTCATCAAACACCTCGTCCGCATCCTCTCCTCCACCTACGTTCTGTCACAAAAACCAACCAAAAAACATCAACATGACCGAAACCCATAATCACTACAGAGTCACCAGTCCTTCCGCCACAAGAAATGACCTGTTCAGAGCGGCTCTGCGAGAGAGAAACAGAGAAACGAAGAGATGGGCGTTTGCTATAGGAGAAAGGAGTCTGTTTGGGGTTGAATTTTATTGTTGCCTTATTGAATTGGCTT